CACATTTTCTTTATGAGTCTCCCAACTTCAAATTTCACTGCCTTCATAACCAAATTCAAAATGTGTTTCTCTAACTGAATTCTGTGAAGTGAAATATTTTTATCATTTAACAAGGAAAACTTCTTTGGGGTCTGTATGGAAATTTCATTTTTATTTTATATATAATACTTATATATTTATGGGATACTATGTGATATTTTGATATATCATTATATAATGTTGAAACCAAAGCAAATAAAGCTTTATCCTCATTTATCATTTATTTGTGATGAAAGGTTTCAGAATCCTTTTTTTCTAACTTTTTTGAAATATATAGTACATTATTATCTATATTAGGATTTTACTAGTGTGCAATAGATACCAGAAATTTTTTCTCCTATTCACCAACATCCCCACCCTTCACACCAGCCTCTTCTTTCCATCCTCTGGTAAGCACTATTCAATTCTTAACTTACATGAGATCAACCCTTTGGATTCTATATATGAATGAGGTAACATGACATTTGTCTTCCCTTGCCTGGCTTATTTCACTTAATATCTTTCAGTTCCATCTGAGTTGTCACAAATGACAGGATGCACCCTATTTAATGACTGAATTGGTATGAAAGTTTTTAAAACAAAATTTGTTCTTCATCTCTAGGTTCTAGTTTTGCACCATCATCTACTATTTATGCAAATAATTCAGTTTCCAATTCAACGAATTTCAGTGGTTCACAACAGGTATAGTAGCTTTTTGTATTTGTTCTTTTTATATCTATTGCAGATTATTGAAGAGTACTTTCAATTATAAGTATACATCCTCTGTAAATAAAGTTTCTTTATTTAAAATTCATATAGCAACTCAGGACAGTAAAAATTTACCTATTCAGAATTCTTGGGATATGTGTTATTCTAACTGTTTTAGATTTCTTGGTTAGTAAATATGAATGCTGCAGTTGTTTCACTCTTTTGGCATGTTTTTAAAACATATTTTGCATACTTTTATCTTAAACTATCCTAAACACAATTTTATTTATCTTAACAAACTGTTATCATGATGAATATTAACTAGTAGATCAAACTGTAATCAATCACAGTATTATGCTATAGATGCTAAAACTTTTCAATCTTAAAAAGTAACACTAGTTAATAAACTAAATGCTTCCAGAACTAAGATTGGGTTTTCATTTTTTAAGAATTTAATTCTATAATTTCTTTCAATAAATGTTTGGTTCCCACTTTCCTAATAGTCATAAGTTTGGCTTTGGTCACTGAGCCTATCTTGAGTAGGCCTCTGCTGCCTCCTAATCATATTTTCCTAATGTTTTGAGAGTTTTAAAAATCTAGCTGGTGGAGGGCTGGGAATACAGCTCAGATGACAGAGTGATTGCCTCATATGCACAAGGCCATGAGTTCACTTCCTAGCACCACAAAAAAAGTAAAAATAAAAAAATAAAAATCTAGCTGGTGGGAATGATATGTGGAACAAGAGTGCAGATTCTGAAGTAGTAACTGGGCACAGAGATTAACTTGTGATCTGTGCTGATGCTTCAGAATCTATTGTCTTTATTTATGATTCTTAACTATGCCCAGAGTAGTTGAGACAGAAGGGTAGCTGGTTTCTGGGCAGACAATGCACTATTTTATTTCAGTGTCATGGCTGAGCTATCATGTATTTTAAAATATCTTACTGCACAACTGCTTGGATTTTGCATTTACTGAAGAAATTCTATTCATTGCTTTTTTGTGTGGTTTTATTAACATAGAAAAAAGCCAGAAGGAAGTTGGCATTCATTAGAAAGTATGGTATACTTGGTCAAGTAGCCATCAGAGTCATTGCATATTTTATTTAAAAGCTGAGAATTTTAGATCATTTATTTATTGATACAGCAGACATTTATTAAGCCCATGCTGTACATTATATTTTTGACTCAGCATTGAATGTCAATATGTTACCATTATGTACAACTCTAATGCACCAATAAAAATATGGAAAAAATACTTAAGTCTTTATTTCATGTTCTCCAAAGGACACAGTCTTTGTGAAGAAACAGCAATGAAACAATTTGGATAGAGGGTGGAATATAATAATAAAATAATAGAAATATGGGTTGGGGATATAGCTCAGTTGGTAGAGTGCTAGCCTTGCATGCACGAGGCCCTGGGTTCAATCCCCAGTACCACCAAAAGAAAAAGAAGAATAGAAATATACACTAGTCAGAGTGGTAGTGTAAAGGAAAGACCACTATACTTGGGAGGATTTAAAAAAATATTTGTAAATTAGAGGAATATTTATTTGAAAAGTTTTAATCATAAAATAAATGGTGGGAATGACAATTTTGTCTGACAATTTAAGTAGAATGGATGTCATATAAAATATAGTTTGTATTTTGGATCATGGGCTGAGTACCACTTCATCATTTCTGTAGATACTGAGTGTTTCTCAAGTATTAGGAACAGGTCTGAACATTAGGGGCCAGTGGCGTGGTGGCCAGAATCTATCAGACCTTATCCTTACTTCATGGAATTTACAGCCTACAGACAATAAACCAATGAATACACAAATTAATATGTCCAGAATTAAAAAGCTTGAATGGAGAGAACAAGATCCCACTAAAAATAGTAACAGGAAAATAATTTTGAACAGGGAGGCTTGGTGGACGCCTTCTCTGTGAGAGATACATTTAGGCCAAGGCTCCTGAGAGCCAGGTGAGGAAAGAGGGCACAAGTGTTTCAAGCCAAGAAAGCAGCAAGAACCAGACCCCCAGGGGTGGAAGACTCCATGTGTCACTGAACTCCAGGAGGACTGGAGTTTAGCTGGAGCTGAGAGGAAGGTGGAGATAGCTGGTTTTGAAGAGGTAGGTAGGCAGAGACCTGCTCACAAAGAGCCACAAGGGTTTCAGTTAGGCCTTTGGATCCTTGTCTAAACCCAGTAGGAAGCTATTAAAGGATCATAAGCAGGAGAACCCTACATCATTATGTAATTTATGTTTTGTGTAATCTGGCTTCCGAGTGTTTGGAGAAAGTAAAAAATTGGAAACAGGAGATAAAGTAGATTAGTGAATAAAATGGGTGGCAATGGGAAGTGAAGGATGTGTAGACCAGGGTGACCATATTGGGAATGAAGGAGGCAGAAATCTCAGAGATACACTGGAGCACTTGACACCCTATTCCCCAAAGACCACTGGGAGACTTCCCAGGGTGTACCCAGCTCCTCCTTAGGGTGTCAGTAGCTTATTAGCACACAGTGCCTCACACCCATGCTGGGGTCAAACAACAGGTACCAGTTGCAGCTCTGAAGCTTGTTGGCTGTGTAACCTGGGCACAAATCACGTAAGCATTCTGTGCTGTTGTCTTCTTTTTAATATATAACATGGGAATAGTAATAATAACACTACATAGGAGATTGTGAAGATTAGGTGAACAAAGCTATTTAAGCCCTTAGTACAGTAACTGGACACAAAGCCAGCCATACTTAAGACTTTGCTCTCTCTTTCTTTGACTCTGGAAAAGTCGGGTTGCTTGGAACTTGTTCAAATATTGATGAGTTTTTTCTTTGGCTCACAGGTAGCTGTGGGGAACATAAGATCCTGCAATTAACAGCCTAGTGGAATTTTAGTTTTTTGACATATTACTTAATCCTTTCTGGTAATACATGTATTTACTTACACAGAGAATTTCCTTTTTGGGGAACCACATCCCACATGCATCTATGTTCACTCCAGAACTTGCCTCAACAGGGATCTTGATCCTGACCAAAGATCTGTCATCACTGATAGCATTTTGGGTTAACACATGGGAGATATATCAAACTCTATCACAACAGCCTCACTCACCATCTTAACATAGAAAAGAATTTTGCGGAATCATTCTTATCATTTTAAGGCTTTTTAAATTTTTTAAAAATAAAAAAACAGGGGAGCTGACTCAATGCTTTCATTTTTGTCTGTAAACAAAGGAGAAAAAGCACAAGTTTGAAAAACCTCACCTCACTGAACCCTTTTAAGTCAAGGCCTCAGATAGCACATGGTATGTGAGAGGCCAGGTTAGAAAAATCCTTCATTCTTTTGATTATTTACTCTGTACCTTCTGCCAAGAAGACAGAATCATCAAGGACTGCCTGGAAAGAGAATAGAAATCAAGTAAATGCACAGGGCAGTCCGTGTGGAAGCCAGGTAGGGAGCAGCCACACTCCCCCTGCTGATGGGCTTGGTACTGATTTTATAAATGTGACCTGATTCTGGCTCCCCCTCTCCTCTTCCAGGGCATAGGTCCTAAAGATGTAAATCCTTGGATAAGTGTAATCAGGGAGGCAAAACGAAGCATATGCAAACTTTAGACAGATTAAAATTTGTGTACTAGAACTGGCTTGTAAAAATAATAGGAAGCTCATTACCATGTGCTACCAAAGTCATCTCCACACGTGAGGATTAGCTCAGTGCTCTAGCTCGGAAACAAATGGAGCCAAAGCTGGTCTTTCGATTGCCATGGTGATTGGGGTTGTTTGGGCTTTTTGTTTTGTTTTAAAAAGAGAGAGAGAGAGAATTTTAATATTTATTTTTTAGCTTTTGGAGGACACAACATCTTTGTTTGCATGTGGTGCTGAGGATCGAACCCAGGCCACACGCATGCCAGGCGAGTGCGCTACCGCTTGAGCACATCCCCAGCCTTGTTTGGGTATTTTGCTTGTCATTTTTGTTGTTGTTTGGAGCATAATGGATGGTAATTTCTCTTCCAAGCACACACATCTCCATTATTTGTTTCAGGATTATCCGTCCTACACAGCCTTTGGCCAAAACCAGTATGCACAGTATTACTCAGCATCAACCTATGGAGCATACATGACTTCAAATAACACAGCCGACGGCACGTCCTCATCAACCTCCACCTATCAGTTACAGGAATCTCTCCCAGGACTGACTAGCCAACCAGGTACAGATCTTCACCCAGGTGAAATACTGTTAAATGTTTTCTAATAACATGGAGAAAATGGGCTTTTTAAAAATATGCCTGAAAAGTCCCAGATAATTGTGATGATATTTAATCTACATTGGCCTCACTGCAAAAAATGAGGCTCTTTTGATGTTTCAGAAAACCTTCCTTTTAGATATGGAACTGTTAGGAGATTGGAATCTCAAAGAGACTATGCATGTAGGAATGTGGATATGGGCACATGGACCTTTTGCCAGACTTATTCTTTATTTTGTCAAAAACTTGACAGCAGAGTTATAATATTTTCTTCTTGAGTATAACTGATAATATTTCCTTTCTGCCAGAGAGACAGCCTAGGTCCTTCACCCCTGGTTCATCAGTAACTCCTACAAGTCCACATTTGTAGGATCAGTGGCAGGTAGTTTAACATCTTTGCCTGATGTATGCTATTTGAAATCTATCATCATTCTCATTACATAAAGCTTTACCACCTTCTTATTAGAATCATATTTGCACATATATTTGACATATCAAAGTATTAAAAGTTAAAGACAAGTTTTAATAGAGATTCAACATAATCTCAAAATGTCAATAGATTTTTTTGAAGTAATTATAAAGGTGACTTTAAAATTACAAGGAAAGGTAAAGGAACAGAATAATGAAAACGATTTTGAAAAATAAGAATGAAGTTTGAAAACTTGCACTGATTAATTTCAAGATTTACAAGTATAGTAATCAAGAAAGTACAGTATTAGCAAAAGTATAGATTCATAGAGAAATGCAAGTGCAAAGACAAATGAATGAACAATTAGTATCTTTTAGCAAAAGGTACTGGAAAAACTAAACATCAATATGCAAAAGGTAAAAGAATATCAACTCATAACCCATATGCAAAAAATTAAATTGAATTATAAGCCTTCATATAAAAATTAAAAACTAAAAAATATCTAGAAGAAAAACAAAAGAAATCTTTGTGACCTTGGACAACATAAAGATTTTGTAGATATGACACTGAAAACACAATTCATAAAAGAAAAGTTAAACTAGATTTCATCAAACTAAGAAGATCTTTTAGAAAGCCACCACTACAGGAAGAAAAAGACAAGTCACAGAGAAAAGATTTCCAAAACACATATCTGATAAAGGACCTGTATCCAGAATACATAAAGAACTCTCAAAAAAAACCCCAAAAAACTTTTGTAAATACTATCAATGTGTTTTAATATTTTTCTGCCTTTAGTTACTTTTAAGACCTAAATTCACCCATGTCTTTTATCTAGATTTGGAAAGAAAGAATATGGGAAAACATGGTCACAAGTCAGCAAATTCTAACTGGACAAATAGGGCCAAGATGATTCAATTCCATTAAACAACTATTTATTGAGTTCCTATTACGTCCTAGCATTGAGCTAGAAACTTGTACTTAAGCAATGAAAAAAAAAAAAAAGCTTTGCCATCTTCTTATTAGAATTAGACTCTGTGCATGTCTTTAATGTCCTTTTAACAAGCAAGATAAAAATCAGGCAAATAATTAACAGTGATGTATTAAGAAAGGGAAAATACTGGATTATATTTAAAATATTAACAAGTAAACTAATATGGACATAAAGAACTAACAATGAAACACACACATACACACACACACACACACACACACACACACACACACATATATATTTTTGCAGTGCTGGGATTGAACTCAGAGCCTCACACATGCTAGGCAAGCATTTTACCACTGAGCCAATGCCCAGCCCTAAACCAATATTTTAATTAATATCCAAACTATGCTTATATCATGAATTGATGGAAGGGCAGCATCATTTCCTGTTAAGAATAGAGTAGCTCTCCCTTATTCATGGTTTTCTTGTTGCAGTTTCAGTAAACTATGATCGACTGCACTCAAAAAATCTTAAGTAGAAAATTCCAAAAATAAACATAAGTTTTTAGTAACTTTGATTATAGTCCACTGTTAAAATTGTTCTTACTGTTGTTATCATACTATGCCTAATTTACAAATTAAACTTTATAATAGGTGTGCATATATAGAAAAAAAAAAACAGTATCTATGGGCTTTGGTGCTATCCTTGGTTTGAGGAATCCTTGGAATATCCTGAAACCTATAACCTGCAACTGAGGGGAGACCACTATATCTTCGCTAACCTTGGACCCAGTGAAAAATAATCTAGAAAGTTTAGTTTGTCTTTGTTGCCCTGCATTTCAGTTTCTTTCCCCCCTTTAGATTTCTTTTAGATTCTTCATCCTTTGAGCACACAGCCCCTTTCAGTTCCTGGTTCTTGTCCCTCCAAGGCTTCCTATTTAGGTTTTCCACCCAGCTTCAGCCCCCCTAAGCATTTGCCCCCCATGGAGGATCAGGCCTAGGGTCAGGCCAGCAAAGAACCCAGAGTGCACAATTTAGGGAGGCACAGCTTCTCAGATCTTAGCTCTTATGCCCTAGGTGTCTCACTAGTTAGTCCCAGCCTTAATCACATGTCCCAAAACTGCCCTGCTCCTCTTTGAGCAAATATTTACATTTCATCAAGGATCTTGCCATAAAAACAGTGATCCTTGCTTCACAAGTGGTGGAGATGCTATAGATAGGGAGGCTTGTCATACTCTCATCACATTGGAACGATTTTTCTCCATGGTGAATGCGCAGGCAGAACAAACGAGGGGACTCTGCTGACACAGAACCACAGCAGTGTTTGTCATTGGAGTGTCAGAGACTGAATGACAGACAGGACCATAGGGTGTTTTGAAGTTACTAGACTACAGTTACCATGAATGGAAACTGTATGCTCAGAGACGGAATGTGCTGCATGGCACTTGGGTCCAAGGTTGATTTTGCTATAGTTTCCATGTAATCACAGCAGGGTTTCTGTGCAGGAAACACATGGATGGTGACTTTCCATTTGCTAAATAACACTCCATATTCAGAAAAGTAGTTTTATTCATGGTACAGGTGCTACCTGCAGGCAGGGAGATATTCTGAGTGGGGACTTCGAATGCAGCACACCTATGTGTGCATTCTCGTGTTTGGTATAAAGTTCTACCTTTTCTTCAGGCTTCCAGTGGCTGCTAATGCCAACAAATATGGATTAGCACAATTTTCGTATTTCATCAGACTTTTAGTTGAATTTAAAGAAGAACGTATTTCTACTTGTAACTACATTGTTCTCTAAACCAAAATCATAGCACACATGTCTGAATTTTTAAGGAATTCTGTGATCTCTGACCTTTACTCATGCCTATTGAGATCTGGCATGCCTCCAAAAAGCAAGCAAGTTTATAACTATGAATTTGTTTTTATTAATGATGAAATCTGATGGATTCAGTTCAAGGGCAGGAAAAGAATTTCCCATTAACTGATTCTGCATTTTGGACTTATAGCAGAGACCTAACAATGAAGTCCACAATTTTTCACAGAACATTTCACTGTTTTCCATCTTTAAAACAGAAACATGCCCTATGTTCAATAAGAGACAGCTGGTTGTTCAGATATAGAGATAAACCTAATGAAATAAAGTTGGATCTAAATATCCAAAGCTTACAAGGGGCAGTTATTCATTATTGTACTGATTAAGGGATAATTATTCAATCATGTAGAAAAGCCCTGGGCAGTTGGTAATGACTGATGTTATTTGGAAATTGCAAATAGCGTTCAGTTATTTATTTTACCCTATTAGGTAGTTTGACAATGGATTTAAGAAACACTACTGTGCTGATTAAGAACAGACATTTTAGTTCATTATCATTATGAAGACCTGTCTTTGGCTTTAACACAAAGTTTATCTAGGGTAAAATGATTTGCATGCAGGATGTTTTGAGAATGGATCAGCAAGTGAAGATGAAAGATTTTTACAGTTATTTTTATTAAATATTTTAATCTTCTTTAAAGTTAAGTGTGGTTAGTACTTTGTAGCAGTATTATCCTTTACCCTAAAACTACGATACACATTACAGTACATTAGCTAACTGAACAAGTGCTCTAGAAATGTCAAGGAGATAGTAAATCACTTCCCTCTCTGAGGCCAGCTTCTCAGGCAGAGGATAGACCACAATGAACTTTGCCAAATTACATTTTCCCCTCTTGAAGTATCCCATGCCCTTGTACAGTGACCTGAGTAAAAACAGACACTAGAGCTAACAGCTAGTCACTTTAGTCTCTCTTTAAAAAAAAAAAAAAATAGTACCAACAAATGTTTAATGATCAGTTAAGCCCAAGTTTCTAGTTTTGCTCTTTATCAGGAGATAAAGGTCCATACTGTCTCACCTGGATGGGCTCTGGAGGATAAGATACCCACCTGCCCTCCACAGGAAGTATTTTTTCACTTCAGTTAAGTCCTTTCAGTGAATTTCTTGGTCCTTTCTTTCTCACACAGCAATAATGACTTTTTTTATTTAATTGCTTTAAATGACAAATTTTAATATATTTGCCATGTAAAACATATTGTTTTGAAATATGCATGTATAGGGAAATGACTAAATCAAGCTAATGTATTTGTGACCTCACATACATCATTTTTTGTGGTAATAACACTTAAAAGTCATTATCTTAGCAATTTTCAAAAAATATACATTATTGTCAACATGGTCACTGTGTTGCATGATACCATCTCTTCAACTTGTCCTTCCAAGTTAACTGAAATTTTGTATACTTTAACTGACATCTTCCCAATCCCTGGCCCCAGCCTCACAGCACTTGGTAACCACCATTCTATTCCATTTCTGAGACTAAACTTTTGCACTCTACATGTGAGTGAGGTCATGCAATATTTATCTTTCTGTGCCTGATTTATTTTGCTTAACATAATAACCTCCATATTGTTGCAAGCAACAGAGTTTCTTTCTCTTTTAAGGTTGAATAATACTCTACTGTGTACATGGACCACATTTTCTTTTTCCCTTCACCTTTTGAAGGAACCTTGGGTTGATAGCATACCTTAGCTATTCTCAACAGTGCTTCAGTGACCATGGGAATGCAGGTATCTCCTTTACATAGTGATTTAACTTCCTTTGGATATACACCCAGGGATGGGATTGCCGAATCATTTGGTAATTCTACGTTTAACTGTTTGAGGACCTTCCATGCTCTTTTCCATAATAGGGGTCTTCATCTACATTCAACAGTTGCAAGTGTACCCTTTTCTCTACATCCTCTCCAACACTTATTATCTTTTTGATAATAGACATCCTAACAGGTGATATCTCGTTGTAATTTATTTGAATTTCCGTCATTATTGTTGAACATTTTTTCATTTTCCTGTTGCCCATCTGCAGGTTTTCTTTTAAGACATATCGACTGAGATCCTTTGCCCATGTTTTAATGAAGTTATTTGTTCTCTTACTACTGAGTTGTTTGAGTTCCTTATATTCCTTATATGTTTTGAATACTGACCGCTTATCAGATGTATGCTTTCCAATATTTTTGCTCATTCTGATCAATTGTTAGATTATTTCTTGATCTGTAGAAGCAGGCACAGATTTGACCATTGTAACCTGGAAAATATATGTCAATTTGGGGGAAGCCTCGTGATTGAAGCAGAAGTTCTGAAGTCACATCAATATTGTAAAATACAAGCTAATTAATTCTGGTAATTTAATTAAATTTCACATGTCTCAAGTCTATCCCTAAATGACAACAATGAAGGAGTTAATTCACTTTGTTGGAGTGAGTTTAAATCATGTGCATACATACACACTACAATGAAAAGCTCTGACAAATCAATAAGAAAAGCAAGAATAACCAATTTTTTAAAATGGGCAAGAGCTTTAACAATTATCAAAAGAAAATATAAAATGGACAAGAAACATATAGCAAAAATGTTCTCCATCATTACACATCAAGAAAATGCTAATTAAACTGACAGTGCAATACTACCATGCATTCACAATGACTAAACTAAAGAAGACTAACCATATCAAGTATTGTCATGGATGTGAAGCAAA